AAACATACATATTTTATCTTATATCTTATCTTATTTTCTTCTTGCTCTATTGAGAGAGCATTTTGTTAGAAGTAAATCCACGTATATTATCTTATTGAGAAGATAATTATATTTTTATTATAAGTAAAACACATATAAATTATCTTATTGAAAAAAATAATCATATTTTATCTGAAGTAAATCTTACATACATCAACTTATTGAAAAGATAATCAGTTATATAATCTCTTGAAGTTATAAAAGTCAATAACTATCATGAACACAGTCACTATTACCATTTTAAAATAATTACATATGCATAATCTTAAAATGATAACAATATAATATATTAATAAAATAGATGAAATAAAAATTTAACTATTGCAGAATTCACTTATAATAAGAGTAAAAATACTTTAATTAATTAGATTGTGAATTGATATCTTATATATTAATTAATATTCTATTATCATAAAATAATATTATAACTTTTTAAGATTTTATAGAGTATTAGAATATTATAATTAAAATTATCAAAGATTTACTACTTGAAGTATAAGAAAGATAAAATAAATATATAAATCAATATAAAAGATATAAAGAATTTAATATTAAAGATAAAGTTTTTCTCTTTACTTATAATATAAAAGTTCTAGTAAATAAGTAAAGGATAATTAAGAAATTTATATCAAAGTTTATAAAACTTTTTGAAATTATCACAAAAATATCTTCTGTTACTTATAAACTACAACTATCAGTAAATATAAAACTTCATTCAGTATTTCATATTTTATTACTAAAGAAATATAATTCAAATAATAAATATAATAGATATCAATTATTACCAGCTATTATCATATTAGATAATAAAAAAGAATATAAAGTTAAAAATATTCTTGATAAAAGAATTTATTATTATAAACTCTAATATCTTATTAAATAACTTAACTATTCTCTTTATAATATAATATGAGAATTATTTAAGAACTTGAAAAATATTATGAAGAAGATTAATATCTTTAAAAAATTACATACTTGAATATAATGAGAATATTATATTTTAAGTAGGGAAATATATAATAATTTTAATTAAATTATCTCTCTTTAGCTCAGATCTTTATTTTGCACTATTTATATAATAGATTAACTTCTATATTACTTTTTATAAAGATTAATTTCATTCTGAATATACAAATGATCATTTATGTATTTAATATATTAGATTTAACATATTATCACACAGATAATTATTATATATATCTATATTATTAATTTAGATAATTAATATTTTTAATTAGATTTCTTTTTAATTATTCTTTTATAATTTTATTCATTTTATTTATTATTATTTATATTATTATTTATTTTATTATTAATTATTAAATTATGATTAGTTACCCTTTGGAGATGCAAATTAAGTTAATTTAATATATATATATATTTCAATTAAAAATTATTATTAATTTATTCATATTTTGTATTCATTTCTTTTACTATAAATATATTCTTTCTATTCTGCATTTTTATTTCTATTTTTAAATAATAAAAATAATTATAAGTTATAAAATTAAAACTATTCATATCACATTTTATTTTATTTATAATAATTAATAAAATAATCTTACATTATTATCAAAAGAAAAATAACTAAAAATAAGATATGATAATTATGTAATTGATATATTATTATTTTATGTTAATTATATTTTATTTTTTAGATTCACAACTTTTGAGAATGAAATTTTACAAGATATAGTCTTTTTTTTGAATTATTCAAATGTTTCGCTTCAAGAAAAGCCAAAGAAATTGTAGATTATATTATCAGAATATGAGTTATAATGAGTAAATCTTCATTTAAAATGTAAGAATAGGTGTGAATTAGAAGTTACAAATTATTGTACGGTTATAATTATGGCTAATTAGCCTAATTTTATTGAAAAAAAATATTGATTAGAAAAAATAATTATTGCAATGGAACATAAAGTGATTTTTTGTCCTAAATTTCGCTGTGAACTTAATTACATAGAGAATTTTTGAAATATCACCAAACAATATACACATGTAAATTATAATTATACTTGGAAAGAATTATAAGAAACTGTTCCAAAAGAATTGAATTCGATTTCTTTGCCAACTATCCAACATTTTGCCGGAAAAGTCTTTTATTACATGAATATATATTGTAAGGATTTAACTGAAAAAGCTACTAAACATGCAGCAAAAAAGTACATAGTTCCAAATTTAATATTCAATAATATCAATGATATCAATATTATTAATGTTATTAATATAATGATTTGTCAAATTAATTACGTAACTTTTTGCAAAGTTGTGTTAAATCGACTTTTTTGTAAATTTTAAAATTTAAGTTGAAATTTTCAAAATTTGAAACATATCACGTGATTGGTCGGTTTTAGCTTGTATGGCACTGTATGAGATATTTAAATGTGCAAAAATTATTCATATAACGTGCACAATTTTCATATGTTTTTGAGCTCAGATTTCTGGGTATTAAAAAAGTGGTTTTACATAACCATGCGTTTCAAATGATCTGACTCTTAATTTTATTCCAATTTTGGGGACATTTCAAAAATTCGGCCAATACATTCCCGCAAATCAATTCATTCGAATTATGATTAATTTTAAAAAATCAGCCTAACAAATCGGCAATTGATGCACCAATATCTATTATAGGGCAATCCATAAAAGAATTACATATTGAGATGTAAAAATATTATTTATTCCATCTAACTAAGAATACAATTCAAAGATTAAATTAATTACAATATAAAACAAAAAAGCTTTTGCCGACAGAGAATCTAGGCAATTTTTTTCTTATAACTAATAATTACAGCTATAGCTATCGCTAATTACCACGCCAATTCCTTTCCTCCACTCCCACAATCCTTAACTTCTGAAGAGGCCTCAGTCGCACAACTTCCTACAGCTGAAGCTTCTAATCCAACCGCAGCTCTAAACAGGTTTGCGCCATAATTTTTATACATTTCTGTGACACCGCCAGCCGCGATCAATTTCTCTTCCATTTCTGACAAATAAAATTCGAATTCCTTGTCGTTAACCTTAACTTTACGATTTTTGACGTCGATGCTTACTTCGGCGCCTTCTTGAGCTAGATTATAAAATTCTTCATCGGTTACTGTTATACCCAATAGTGCCATGTTAGGCTAAGTGAATATAATTGAAAGAAAATAAATTTATTAATTCATTGGATCGAATTATGAAAACAAATAATTTCAACAAAGAAAGTTGGTTATTATTATTCTTGCCTGATTTCTGCCATAAATATAAGCATAGCTTTTAGCAATAACCGCCTGAATTCCAGCCCCTTTCAAAGCTCTCGGTGCCTCTTCTCTAGACGATCCGGATCCAAAACCGGACCCACCGACAACGATCGTAAATCCTTCTTTTACTTTACTTACAAAATCGGGTCTCACATATTGGAAGGCATGTGTTCCAAGGTCCTCGTCACTAGTTCCGGGCATAAATTGTGCAGGGATAATTGCGTCCGTATCAACATTATCCTCAAATCTCTGTACTTTGCCGGCTATGAAGGATGGTAAGAATGATTTTGTTTGTGGTTTAGCGGAAGTATCTTTTGATTGTACGCTATTAGGATCCAGTAAAAGAGGATTAGGTTCAGAGATTGTTATTGGTTCGCCTTTTTGTAGCCATTGTTCAAGGTATTCTTCGTATCGTGCACGATCGACTAGATCTAAAAGTTCTCTTGGATCACGAATTTGCATTTCGAATGAAGAAGCAGCCACTGTCGCTGCTGATGCCAAATTACCGATCGCTCCTTTACCCTACATATTATGGATAAATAAAATAAATTAGATTGATGATTAAATAAATATAATAATAATTCATAAAATAATTAGAATGAACTTACCATACGATTTCTAAAGTTTCTGTTTTGACTACTTAACCAAACTTCACCTTCACCAGCACGATCGGCAGCAACAGCAATACAATAAGAACAACCAGGTGCCCCAATCTCAAATCCAGCTTGTTCATAAACCTTCAAAAGGCCAAGTCGACGCAATTTAGCAACAATTGGCAAACTACCCGGCGTCACCTTTCGTTTACCATTTATCGTTGGTCTTAACCCTTTTTTCAAGCCTTGTTCCAATACCATAGCAGCGAGAATTAAATCTTCTTCGGCTGTAGTACATGCACCAATAAATACACCGTCAAGTTTCGTTCCTTGAGCTTTTCGAACTGGAACAATGTTATCAGGGGATGGATATAACGCGACTAATGAATCAACTTTTGATAAGTCAATGACATGAGTTTCAGCGTACTGAGCATCGGGATCAGCACGGAAATAAAGAGCAGAGTTCTTGTGAGCTGGATTTTTGCGTTTAGCGATAAATGCTGCAGTGATTTCGTCACCTTCAAATACCCCAGCAATACCACCAAATTCCGTGGTCATATTTGAAAGAGCAAATCGTGCGTCACATGACAAATATTTTAGTCCTGGTCCGGTATATTCAACTGCACGTTCAAAAGCCACAGTATTACGTTTCAGTTCACCCAACACGTAAAGAATTGCATCTTTTCCACCAATACCGAATGGAGGCTTTCCAACAAATCGAATTTCCACGGTTTCCGGTACTTTGAACCAAGTTTCGCCAGTCACCAAAGGCATCACAACATCAGCTGCACCTAAACCAACGGCAAAAGCACTAACCGCTCCAGCTGAACATGAATGAGAATCGGCTCCAATAATCATTTGACCAGGTTGTGCTCGTTCACGATAAAATTCGGTGTGCAGAATTGTGACATTTGGTTTATAAAAATCGACAAGCTTAGCTTCCTTGGCAAATTTTTCAGATGCTTGAATTAATTCCGCAGGTTTTGGCATATGATTGATACGTGGATCTACTGTGTGATCGATTGCAAGCCAGAACCGATCGTTACGGTAAATATTAGGTCGTCCCATTATGTCGAATGTTTTTTCCATTCCTTTCCATGTTAGTTCCGATGCTAATGTCCAATCAACAGAGACACAGACCATATCACCGGGCTTTACATGACCCGGAGGAGGCAAACCAATCGCAGCATGTGCGATTGTTTTTTCGCATAGAGTCATGCCACGTCTGCCTTCAGGTCTTTTCAGTAAAAGACCCCGAGTTGGAGTTATAGTCGAAACACGATCTTCTGCATTCAATCCTTCCAAATAACCTTCCAATACTTCGATAACTTGATCACCGACTTGAGATGTTGATTTATTACCGCCCAAATCTTTTGTACGATAAGCGAAACCACCAAATTCTTCACTATCCAATACCTTTCGAACGGAATCTTCTACTGCTTTTGCTTCTCGTTCCAGATTCAGTGAATATCTCAACAATAAAGCGATACTAAGAATCGTGGCGATCGGATTAACGATACCCTGTCCTGCAATATCAGGTGCTGATCCATGAATAGGTTCGTATAAACCAAGACATCGACTCTTTCCATCCGGTAGACCACTAAGACTAGCAGATGGCAAAAGACCCAAACTACCAGGAATAACACTCGCTTCATCACTCAGAATGTCACCAAATAGATTTTCAGTGAGCACAATTCCATTCAACAAAGTTGGATTTTTGACCATGAACATTGCGGCCGCATCAACGTAATGATGCTTAAATGGGATTGTTGGGAATTCTTTTTGGAGTGTTTCTGTGACAACTCGACGCCATAATCTTGAAGTCGCTAAAACATTGGCTTTGTCAATTGAATGTATAGTGGCTGGTGGTGATTTTTGAAGTGCAAGATATGCGGCGAGGCGTGTTACTCTTTCCACCTCCTCAACTGAATATGGAAGAGTATCCAAAGCTAAGGATCATCATAAAAAAGATTAAATAAAATCATGCAATCAAAATTCTGTAAATCGGGAATTTTCATTAACAATATAAACCTTTTCCACTTGCATCTTCTTCTTTTCTTTCTCCAAAATAAACACCACCAACTAATTCTCTGACAATTGTAAAATCGGTTCCTTTAACAACTTTCTCTTTCAGTGGTGAATATTCATAAAGGGCATCACTAGCAAATGAACAAGGCCGAAGATTCGCGTATAAATCCAAAGCTTTACGAATCTCTAAAAGCCCTTGTTCAGGACGAGGTCCAGATGTCCATTGAGGACCACCAACAGCACCCAAAAGGATTGCATCTGATTCTTTGGCAGCGTTTAGAGTTTTCTCCGGAAGAGGAACACCTAATTATAATCACGTGATAAGAATTAAAAAACATCATAATTATCATCATATAAATTAAAAATAATTAAAATAATAACCTGTTGTATCAATAGCAGCACCACCAATTTTTTCTTCGACCAGCTCGAATTCTACTCCGTTATAAATTGATCGTATTTTCGAAATTAATCTTAATACTTTGATACCTTCGGCCACTACTTCGGGACCTGCATTATCACCGGGAAGCACGAGAATTTTGGCTTTCCGAGTAGTTTTTGTCATTGTGAATTTTTTTTTTACTTAATATCGTGGTTTCTTCGTTTTTTTTATTTAATATCGTGATTTCTTCGTTTTTTTTTTAGGTATATCAGGTATCGCCTTTGCTGGCTTATATATAAATGAGGCGTAAAAGTATATTGGACTTGAAAATCCTGTTCTGAACAGGAAAGGATAATTTTTACGTTATGTATTTTGAAAAGTTTTTTTGATCTTATTATTTATGTATATATGAATAGTCATTACACCTCATCTAATGCATAATGCATCTGTTTGTGTGCTGTGTCTGTGTATTATCTACCCTAAAGTCTATTAATTCTATTCAAAAGATTTATTTGATATATCAATAAAATTATATTTCGAAGAGTCTGTCATGTGACTAATCTCTGGTACAGATTTATTTTGGATTCAAATCCAATTGAACTGAACTGAACTAAACAAATCGAGGATCTCAGTTTTTATCATGACGAATTTAGGCGTGGTTTTTTTAAAAAACGATCTTTATTACCAATTTAACTAACGGTACAAATCATTCAGTTTAAAAATAATTATATCAGATATCGATATATAAAAAAAATTTGCAAATGTTTATACTTGTCGATCTACATAACACGTAAAATATTGGGACGGGAAGCTCAATTACCATAATAATATAACAGTATTAACTAACATATCGATATAAATTTACGTTGTTATAAGTCGACCAACCATAATTTTTACTGTTCATTCCTACACATACTCCCTACCTAATAATTAACCGAGAGAAAAGTGGCGCGCTGTGTAATAAAAGTCTCAAAAGAACCGCGAGGAACACGTTTTCCCGTTGATCCTCGAGCAAATGATGTTGGATTTTCCCACATTTCTGAAGGAAGTAATGTTGCTGCTATTGGAAGTCCCATAGAGAGGCTTGGAAATCCAACAACTTCATTTTCCTTTACTCCGACACGGCACCAGAATACAAAAGCCATTATACCAAACAAAAAGTACTCACCGACTAGAACCTCAACTAGTATTTTGAAATCGTCTTTCCAATCGTCTAGGAAAACTGCATCCTCTTCTTCCTTTAACTACGCAAAAAATGGAATGAATAATGAGCGTGACGGTGATGCAGAAGATCAAGAAAGTAGTAGTGCGGAAGAAGAAGAAGAAGATGATAGATCAATGCGAGGTTCTTGCAGAAAGCTTCATGAGAATGGTACCCACGCTAATAAAAATAACAATGATCGTGAAATCGATTCGGAATCAGATTCGAAAAACGGAAATTTGAAAAGTACAAATAATTCATGGACACTGCATAAAAATAAACAAAAGGAATCGGAAAAGAAAACACTAAATCAAAAAATCAATGGCAGCTGCAAATCAACGCGTATCTCAAAAGGAAAAATGCCTGAAAAATCATCTACTAATGATGTTATTATCAGAATGTTGGAATCAGAAGGTCCAATGACAAGACAAAGAACTCGGATGCTGGAAAGAGCCGATGAAAAGGAGGATGAGAAAGATAATGATGATAGTGACGATGATGATGACGATGATGATGACGATGATGACGATGATGATGATGACGATGATGGAGATGAAGATTCTTATCATAAAGCAAGAAACAAAAACATTATTAGTGATAAAGATAATCATAATTGTAGAAAAAAATCAAAACGGAAAAAGATTCCTGATCCAATTGATGAAGACAATGCACGTAATTTAGCAGCGATGAGGAACATGATGAAAACATATGGCGAGAAATTAAGTCAAATAGGAGAAGCAATTATTCAACTTAAAGCTGATCAAGAAGAAAATAGATCTCAACCTCGAATTATTAATTGTATACACAGAGATGATATGGAAAATTCGGTTGAAGAATATTCAGATGCATCGCGACGAGAAACTAATCACCAAGGTGACATTTACATAAGCTTACTTTGTTAATTATATTCATCATCGAAGCTTTGTGTGTGTGTATATATGTGTGTATGAGATTTTATCTGCTGTTATATTTAGTAGATTCATATCTTGTGTAATTTTCCAGAGAATAACGGATCCAGCATAACAATGAAGGAGAAGGATATGGATCACGACAGTCAACAACGTCTCGCTACACGGGACAATCTCGCTATACGGGATAATCGGTACCATCCATATAATCAAGCGAAGAAAATTCACATGCTTGAACAAACTCTTCAAAGAACCTCGTTAAAGGTCATAATGAGTGAAACGCGGATAAGTCGATTAGAGGTGCATTACGCGAAACTCTCAAAGCAATATAATTCCTTGAATAAAGTATTGAAGGAAGCAGCTAATTCGCCAGATACGAAAGAAAAAGCGTTCTTCGCTGATGCTATACAAAATATAAGGGAAAACTATATAAGTATGTGTGTTGGATTCAGTTTGGGTACTGCAGGCATATTTGTGGCTAGCCAAGTGTGGCTTTTTTATTTTCTGTAGTCGATCATTATTATGTTATTGTCAATGTCGTCGTTTACTTTTTGCCTTGTGAAATAATAATAATACATCAAATATAACTTACAAAAAATCAATTGGTCACTAAAGCTTTTGATCATTTATTGTATGTATTAATGATATTATTAATTTTGGTCGAAACAGCCATGTCAAAATTTTGTCTGCATTAAGCAGATTTTGCCGTATTGCAAAAATCACGGCATATGTAATTGTGAGGAGAATTATTAATCAAATTTATGTTACAATGATAAAATATTGCCTATAGTATCACTATTCAAATCCTGAGAAGGGTAATAATATTTGGCGATAAAAATTTAAGTGTTCTCGATTTCTAATTATAATTGGGAAGATATCAAGGTAGGTAACATAAAATAAATAATATCCCAGCAAATAAATAAGCGAGTAATCAAAACGTGGGTACATATTCTTCGTTACTATGGCCAACAACATTGCTGCCATTTTCCATCAAGATTTTTGCGTCAAATCCATATTGACTATTGTTGAGTGAAGGATTCCAGAGATTCATTGAATTATGAATGCCCGGTTGTTGTGTTGGTTCAATAAAATCATGGATTCCGGTAAATATTGGCGTATTAAATGGTGCTCCCATATGTGGAGAAAGAACAGTCGGATTAGGAGAGGTGGACGCGGAGGATATATTAGGAGGTGGAGACAAGGTAGAAGAGAACTGCATTTCAGGATAAGTTTGATTGCTGTAGTCTGTCTGATGTGGAGGTAATTGTTGCTGATCAGTGTAAACTTGGAAAGGAATAGATTGTTGGGTTTGCTCATGAAAGTTTTGAAGACTAGTGGGATCAAAGGTAAATTTAAAATTGTTCGTTTCATCCTGCCAATCTGTTGTTTTGTTGTTTCGCCGCCTGGTTGCATTAGGATTTCTTCCCCTGGCCGAGGGATTTTTAATTTGATCGTGACTAAATGAAGAACTTGAAGCATCTGAAGATTTATTATTTTTGGCTTCCTCTTCTTTAAATTTTCCAAACCATCCTTGTAACTTCTCTTCCCCGTCTAATCGACCAGATGCGAATCTTCTTCGCGCAATTTCTTTAACTTCATTTTTTATTTCTTTGAGTCTTTCGACCATACTCTCTGCTTTTTTATCTCCCCGTTGCGCTGTCCATGCTAGCACCCGAATGGCAGGTGCAATGGCAAAAAGGGCCGTGCATGATTGCTCAAAGAAATCAGGAACTTGATTCATAAGCACATCCAGCCAATGAAGAAGGATAGTGGCAGCATGAACGCAGATTGTCTGTGAAGATAATCGATTCGCTTCTTGCATAGGATTCATTGGGCTTGTGGTGAACATCGTTAAATTAAAGCTATGAAGAAGAATTATAACTGTCCAAAAAAGAGTGTGCATTTCTCCTAAATATTTGAATACGATTCGTCCATGTTATCATCAATGTATATTAAAGATATAATTTTATGTCAAAAATTGTTGCTAAACAATATTACCTCCAATAGATCCCAACAAACTTCCCTTCACATCATTTGCCATCTCTTCGAATTTCAACCAGTTTGGCAAGGTGTAAAACCAACGACCAAGAGCCGCATCCAAAAATCTAAACTGATTTTCTTCGCGCCTGGTTCCTTCTATTTTCGATCTTCCATAGAGATATTTTCGCACCTTTATTTATAAACATATTTATTATTGGAAAGATTTAGATTGATAATTCGCAGAATCATCTTTTGTAAGCTCTTTTTTACATACCTGAGCGAAAATACGTAATAAATTGATGTGAAGAATCCATGCGATATGAAGTCGCGTTTCTTCATCAGGTTCTGGATCTGATGGTATAGGAAGCAAATCAACATCACAAGCAGCTTCATCAATAGCACTAGGACGTCCATAACATGCTGAAACCCACCTATTCATATAGAGATAATTTTAGGAGATAGTCCTTCAAAAATTCAATATTAACTAGGTTAAATTAAACTAACGTTTCAGCAACAAAGCATCCCCAAAATGCCATGTCCCGCATCTCCTTGGTCTCATCATTCATTTGGAATTTTTTAATTTTTCGATGTAACCCTAGTTCAAAGGTCATTTTTGAACCCATTCCATGGAAGATCCATGCTGATCCCATCTGCATAACAGTTAATTGATTAATACTCTAATGAAAGAGGATCTCAAGTCAAATATTACATCAATTTACCGTTCTCGTATGTAGACCAAGTATAAATAGACTTATGACCGTTAAGACATGAGGAGTTTGTAAGCAGTGATTCTGTAATAGAGCTATAGTAGAGAGAGAACAATATTAAACATCCAGTTCACTGTTATTAAAAAAATATAATGTTCATTTTCAATAAATTCTTTTTTATACCTATTGCTCTCTGAAAAATAAAAATATGATAGACATAAATTAATTTTTTTATTATTAGAGAAAACCACGTACGGAAAACATGTTTAAACATACTCTGTGATATGATTTTCCATCACGTAAATTTTCATTTTCATGGAATGGCGAAGCTGCAAAGAAAATGCTATTGAGCAAAAGAAAATGTTGCGGCTTTGAAAGATTCGCTAAACAATCGTCAACAATCTTCCGCCGTAAATGCGGATAATGACGGTACACTCGCTAAAAGCATATCAAAATGTTAATAAAATATTAAAGAAATCAATTATAGAAAAAAACAACCATTTTTATGGGATTGAATTACCTGATAATATAAATCAATCAAATATTTTGCCGCAGCAGGATTGGGTATAAGCTTAAGCTCCGGTTCTACTTGTGACAAGTTTGTTGGTGTTTGAGGTACTATCGTTTCTTCACCTCCATCGCTTAACATCAAGAGAGAACCTTCACCAATGTATCTTGTAGACTCGAAAAGATTTAAACCATTCAGACCGTCAGTAAGTTGATCAACTGGATCTGATAATTGAGTATTGTTATTGCTACTGGTATATTGGACCGACGCGTTGTCGACGTTCGAAGTGACCTATGAAAAAAAGGACTTTTCTTAAATTAAACATACCCAGAATTTTATGAAATTATTAACTGATCTTTACCAAAGAAGGTCTACCGGTTTTAGGTAATGTTGCAGCTAATTGAGCGGTAAGTTGTAATGTTTCTTCTGATATATTCTCATTTAGACTAGGCCCAGGAATTCCCTCCGTTTGGTACATTCCATAAAAATTCTAAATAATGAAATCAATTAAAATTTATGTTATTCAAAGCAGCCTTTTTTGTACCTACATTAGTCATTGGATTTGGAACAAAATTCTCGACGTAAGGATTACTTGCACCGCCATTCTGAATTATATTATTAAAATCTGCTTGACCCGGTGCTGCCGCCGTAGTTTGGGATAGATTGTTGTTGCCCATTAAATTCCCCAGCATATTTTCCAGCTGGTTAAGTTGGTCAAACTGTATAGTAGCCACCTCGTCTATTTGTTCTTGTAGAATTTCATATTCGCTTTTTGGCCTTCCACGTTTCGAAGAGGCCGAGAAATTATATGTACATTCTCGTTTAGTTCTCTTACATGTTCCGCATACTGGTCGTTCCTTGTCGCATTTAACCTTGCGTTCCTTACAATTGTCGCAAGTTTCTATCGGTTTAAAGCGTTTTATTGTCCCAGGATTGTTATTTATGTTATTGCTATTATTATTAACTGTTGTTGCAAATGTGGGGTTGGAGGAAATCGAAGACGACGAAGATAAGTCAATATATGTGGAACCTGGTAGTGGTAGTTGTTCCATTTATGATGAATTTTAGCACTATAAACCAAATGTATTTTTTACGTATTTCACTGAACCTTTTCGTTTAAATCTAACTTGTGGCGGTACTGAAAATCTTTTCCATCTCAAGCAATAGAAAATTCTCGGTTTAGGAGATCGGATAATTATGTAATCGTATAAATTTGCTGCCATCACATACTTTAAATTCCCATTATTAATTTTTTTTTGTGTTCCAGCCACTTCGATGTGTAGGTAATCCAGCCATGGCGTGGTGACGATCTAGGGCCATTGAAATACCCGATTAATAAGTATTAGGGTTAAAGATTTTTCTTTCGAATAGTAGATTTAGATATTTGTAAAGTTTCGCCTTATCTAATATCTTAACCAAAAATAAGAAATTAATTTTAATTATAAATTATAAAAAGAAGATAAATTATATTTAATTATTATTATATAAAAGTTGTGATTCAAAGATTTTGATTAACAAATAGATAAAGCAACTAATAATTCAAACATATAATACTATTCTGATTATTATATATAGCAACTTCAAAATTAATTAATAAAAATTATTGAAAGCATATCAATACAAAAAAATTTATGCAAAAAAAATTTTAATCTTATTTTTTTTTACAAAACATAAATCAATCAAAAAATTACTTGTTTTTAGTATTATTTAAGAATTTCTTTCTTCAAATATTAAAAATATAATAAAACTTTATATAATAAATGAGCTTACTATTAAAATAATTAGTAAAAAAACAATAGTAAAATATATAACAATAATAATAAAAACTGTATTATTTCATTTTTATTTTGTTGAAGATTTTATCAAATAGCTGTAATAATTTTAAATCTGTAATATTTATAAAAAAAAAAAATACAAAAAATCATACTAATCTCATTATTATTTTTAATAAATCATATTCATGTACAGTCAGACCTCTCTAAATGCAACTTTGCTTGGACCAACTTTTTGAAATTATGCATTTAAGAAAAATTGCATTTATAGAGGTTAGTTATATATTTGGGCCAGAGTTTGAGATTATATTTAGGGAGATCTGACTGTATTATTTATTGGATATTTATCTCTATTAACTAATTCTTAAAAAACTTGGGTCATATATAATAATAGTATGAATGTCGTCTGTCCGTTCACTTAAGGCCGCATTTCGCAAAGAAATGCGTCATTTGCTCGGTGATATTTCTCAAGAAGTTATAGAACGTGAAAGTATGACACTCTTTACTTTACCTTTATTTCAAGATCTAACAAAAGACTTGCATCAAAGTTTTCTCACTTGACTAACTGATAAAAAAGGCAAAGTCGTGACCGAAAAAACTATTCAAAATCCCAGAATACATTAATGGCCAAAATATCAGCATATACGTTAGCATGTCCAAAGGAGAGATACAAACAAAGTCTATAATACAGGATATTTTCTCAAAAGGTTGGTTATTTATCTGTAATATTCTTTCTTCATATTGAAAAGAAAATCAAATATATATATATATATATATTTTTTTTTAATATGTGTGAAATAGGTAAGTTGTGCTATGTTCCGCGTTGGAACGGCGACATCATGGATATGGTACGATTGTATTCTTATGAGGATTTTTTATCACTTCCGCTCAATCGTTGGAATATCCCGGAGCCGAAACACGATGAAGAAAGAGAAATTGGTAAAATAAAAAAATTAAAATTTAGCTTTTGTTGATTTAATTAATTTTATTTTTTGCGGTATCTTTATTTAGCAACTCAATTGGACCTAATTATAATGCCAGGTAAAAATTTAGACATACTTAATATTGAAAATTGGGTGATAAAACTAATCAATACTCGATTTGGTTTTTGAAGGCTTGGCTTTTGATCTATTTGGTAATAGACTTGGTCATGGAAAAGGGTAAGGAAGAGACATGACATTGCAAACAAAAAGAATTATTAGTTTTGTAATAAATGTTCACTCGATTTATCCGCTGTAATATTTTCTTCAGATATTATGATCGATATCTATCAAAATGCAAAAATAATTCAGTAAAGCCCCCAAGAACAAGTAAATGATCATGAATTTATGATTTTATCTGCCGTCATTAAACGTGACATCAAACTAAAATATCATTAATAAAAAATTAAAATGTAGTCGCGCTTGCACTAGATTCTCAGATCACTAAGGACAAAATAATCCCTACCACAGATTTCGATCAAAAACCTGATCTGATTGTTTCTTCGGGTCAAATCATTTCATCGTCTATTGAGCACGAGAAATAAAATTGTTTTTAGTGTTGATAAGAGGCACTTTCTCAAAGATCGGTTGAATATATGATTATGCATAGATTTAATGCATTATTCCTCTAAATGCATTTAGAGGAGTACATGTATTTATAATTTATTGTCATTATAATAAAACCTTGAACTTTATTTTCTTTGTATTCATAAAGTGTTGATGATTCTGATAATAGACAAATAAAATTCTGCCATAGCAGGGCATGTGGCCTATCTTTACACACAGAATGTTCATCGCCTATCTATGTCATGGTCGGACTTTCATATGATTGGCTAATGTAAATCTATTTATACACTTTACTTTTCAAGAATGTAACATTTTACTAATATTTACTGTGCAAAAGAATCAAAAAAGAATTAAAAATTTATTTAAAAGACAAATATGTTATTAATTATTACTATTATTAGATTATATATAATTATCATATATTAGAAATAATCAACCAATTAGAAAAGAGTAACTGAGTTTGTTATTATTAAAGATTAAGCTAATAATACTTTGTCAAATTATATTTATTTAAATAATATAATATACTTGAACTGTTATAATGAAATTATAACAAGAAGTTCAGTTAAATTTTAATAATATGCTCAAACTTATACAAAGTAACTTGAAATTAATAAAACTAAAACTAATAAAATTGAAAGTATTAATTATTTATTTTTTTTAAAATTATAAAGATAATAATAAATATTTTATATATTCATGAAAATAAAAAAAGAAAATCAATATTATATTTATTTGATAAATTTTAAATAATTATAAAAGAAAAAGATATAAATTAAGATTTTTTTTTTGATAAATTATATTTTTTATTTAATTTATTATTAAAAAATAAAGATTTATAAATATAAATAAAAAAGTAATTACTATTTATATGTTATTTTCTTTATGAAATTTAAAATAAGTTTATTAATAATAGAAAAATATAATAATATATTTAAATTTAACTAATATTTCTAATATTTTTATAAATACTCTTACTAATTTAGATTTAATTATAATATTTTATATAATCACATAATATAAAATTATTATATTTAAAGATTATACTAAAATTATTAATCTTATACTTATTAAATATATAAAGAAAATAATAATATTGATAATTATTATCATATTTATATAAAATAAATATTAAATATAATTATTATTTTTATTATAATATATCTGATAATAATTTTAATAAATCTAATTATTATATAAAGTATAATTTTAATATGGACCAGTGCAAAAAGATTGATATACCAATATAAAAATCAATAATTGCTTCTAATAAAAATCATTCAAATTTTTATAATTTTTTATATTAAGTAAAGAATAATCTAAATTAACTTTTTATACTATTTTAATTATTCTATTATACTTTAATTTAAT